TATTTTGTGTTTTTGTAATAATTATAGGGAAAATATTACATCACCAATTATTTTATTACCCATTAAATTGATTTCTGAAGTGCASTGGTTCCCAAACTTTTCAGCTTTTCACCCACAAAATAACAGCAGCAGAGACCTGTGCCCACAACTATTTTTGGATGATAAACCTTTGTATCAGGTCAACTAAACATGAGCATAGTAACAATATTTATTATTCTACATTTATACATTTTAGGCAACTAAGGCAAAAATGTGATTAATTTAGAAAATCTTTTCAGGACCCCACCTTGATGTTTCAGGGCCCCACTTTGGGTCCCGACTCCAACTTTGGGAACCACTGGTCTAGACAAACTTGATGAAATCAAATGCATGTTGATAAAAATGATCAATAGCATTTGGTAAATGAAGATGCAGCTCTGTGGATTTTGAGGGATTTTGGGGACGATGAAGAAGTAATAAAGAATGGAATGCCACAAAAAATAAACCAAGTGTTGCTTTTAAAAATTGAGTAAAACAAATTATTTTCCCAGCTAAGGTGTTCTGCTCAAGTGATTTGATGCAGTTTGATACTTTTATTTCTCTTTTCAAGAAACTTTTGTCCCAATTAAAATATAGCCATGTAATAAAAAGAAACCTACCTGTCCCCTTCTTGCAGGTGAAGGTCAGGTGATAGTTGCAGGGCACGTCGTTCCACTGCCCTCCTTCATGCCAGATCATCACCACACAGTCCTCTGCTGACTGGAAGAAGCTGTCCGGCTGGTTTGGCCTCCAGTGATCATATTGCTGCCAGAACACAGATTTTCATTTCTTTCTTTAAAACAACAACAAACGTGGAGACGTTTTTCCTTGTTTTATGATTGTTTCAGTAATCTTTGTAGTCAACGTTCTCTTCATAACATCTCGATTTGTTAAAAACAACTGAGATGCCACTTTAAATAGACGTGTTCTACAAATTAAAGCACATTGCTACTTTTAGTGGTTTTAATTTTTAAACTCCTCTGGCAGGTATTTTAAGTCTTCGCAGAAATACATAAGAAGCTGTCTGCTGATGTGTAAAAAAGAGCTAAAACAAAATCAAACTATCATAATTAAAGGCCTAGCATTCCTTGACTGAAACATATCACCCACTTTATCAATGTTTTAAACAAATCATCTTGAAACTATAGCCATTTTGGTCATACATTGCAAGTTGTCACACAATTTATTAGCTCAATATCTGTGAAACTGGCTGAGTTTAAGCCATTTTTGTCTTTGTTCACATCGGTTGGCTGTGGCGGCCATCTTGAATTGGGTCATCTTCAAAAGTAAAACTGTGATAGTTGTTTATTAAATGATTTAGTCAAAATCTGTCCAGTGGTTCGTAGAATGTTTTGCTGACAGAAAAACAAGACAAGTGAACACACAGGCAAAACCATCACCACCCGCCTTTGGGATCTTCCACTGCATGTCACACTTCCTAAAAAAAAATACTGGTAAATAAGAGTATTTTCCGCATGCAGTTTTAATATGTGTCCACTTGTGGCCAAAATGAATATTTTAACAGACTCTTTGCATTTTTTATGAGCATTTTAGCCACTATATTGTCAGCATTTATTGTGCTATTTAAGTCTAGCTGGCTGAAAGTCAGCTATGTTACAGGAGTAAAGAGAGCGGCATCCTGCTGTGTAAAAACATTACATACAAACTGAAAAGTGTTTTGCATCATTATATATATATATTTTAAATTCTCAGACACTATTCCATTAAATTTGGCATGCTTATGAGTGATGAATGTTGTGTTTCTGACTGATTTGAAGTGTTTTGTGTGCTGTGTGTAAGGCTTCATTACATTTAAATTGGAAGAAGCTTAAACCTGTCATTGTCTCTTGTAATAAAGTGGAGGTGGAAAGGCAGAGGTATATAATATATATATATATATATACAGCCTACTGCATGGGGAGGGAAAAGTGTAATTTCATGTGGAAAAGGCATGAAATTAATTCATTAAAACCCATTTTCAGTTCTGACTCATTGCATTTGGCTGAATGTGATATGAGGAGAAACCAGATGGGGGTGCTGCTGAGACAACAAACTACACAGGCCTGAACAAACCTGAAGTTTCCTGTAAGTCTTTATAAATAGACAAACAAACAAGTTTGTGTAGTTTGTTTTAAACTGCACTCAGCATGTTGCATATAGAAAAGGGGTCTGCAGACCCGCTCAGGGTGTGTCTGTTTCCTGATTGATGACACATTCCAACAACCGGTCCCTCTCCTGCATCAGGTTTCAGTTTCTCCTCCCTGCTCTCTCCGGTTAATTTGGCTCACATGAGAGTTCCCAACAGAAACACAACAAAGTGTGTGAGTCTGCACAGAAGAAAACAGATGATAGCCACGTTTCATCTGCTGTGCCAAAAAAACTCTGACGTTTTCAGCTGCAATCGTGCAGCATGTAAAAACAAACCAGAGCTTTGGTCCTGATGAGTAATGGGTCATGGTATTGTTTTAACTTCTGACTTTTTTAATTATTTATCATAATAAAATGAGCCCAGGAGGTTTGACGAGTGCAGAAAACTGCAGGTTTTAGCTGAAAAATGTCTAATTCATTTTCAACAAACTGGACTGCATGTTTGCACCGATCAGTTTTAAATCTATAAAATTACCATTAACAGTGATAAATGCTAGAAGAATGGGCAAATTGAACAGATTTTATAAAGAACAATTACTTATTATAACAGTTATCCAACATTTTACTAGAGTTGCATTGTTTTTATGGAGTTTTTGCATTTTTTTATTCTAACTACACTGTATGCACCAAAGCTAAATGTTAGAAACACTATATACGACTTTGTTGTTTAGATTTTTCTGAAGCATAAAAAAGCTGATTAAAAACCTGACAGAAATGGAAGAATAATGGATGAAAAGTAACAAGGGTGTGTCAGTGCTTATCCTGTTGCACCATTAAGTTATTTGTGTTTTTGTACGTTGTACGCCTTTCTGTTTATTTTCTTTGCTACAAGTTTTTCGTAACTTTGTGCTTGTTCTGTATCTTTGATATTTTTACACTATTTTGTGGTTCTTGAGGCTCTTTGTTGTTGTATTTTTGTGCAATCCTTCCTCTGTAATTTTGTGCATTTTTTTCTTTACTTTTCATCGACGATCTAGAATTCCACCACTTTAGATTAGAATCTGAAATAACTCACTTTCAGTTTGCCTGTTTCTGTACAACAAACATGACGAAATTTGTATCTCAACACAGACTAAATGACTGAGTGTGGACAAACCAGCAAATTATTTCAGAATGTTCACATTTCAAACAACTGTGGAGTGTTTTAGTGTGGTTTAGGGTACCCCCCACTTGCTGTTTGCACCGGGAGAAAACAAACCTATCAATCATTTGTTCATAAAATTCAGTCATTATTTTTATAGTCTTGCTTTAATTGTTTAAAAAAAACAGAAATGTCTCCACTGAGCCTTTCTAGGTTCTTTAACAGATTGGACTAAAGTGAAGAATAAGTCACTGTCTTACCAATGGGCTGCCGTCGGTCCACCTGAAGTCTCTCTCAAACATCTTGTCGTTCAGGCCGATCCACTGGTAGTCACTGCCCAGGCCTGCAGAGGAAGGGAACACACACACACACACACACACACACATACACACACCTATCAGTTGAGCCAAAACCAAGGTGAGGCATGGGGACTTAATGGATGCCAAGGGGAACTCGATGAGCGAGGTGAGATGTGAGCAGACTCACGGTTGACAAACATCTGCTCCTCCTGTGACAGGATGCTGACCAGGTGGGCGCCGTGGAGCCGACACTCCCTCTCAGCGGCGTCCCAGGTCCGACGGCGTACAACGTATTTGTAGCAGTGGGACTGAAACTTGTGCCAGCCAAGTTCACACACCTCGGAGTCTGCAGAGACAGAAAACCACGGCATGTTCAAAAAAATGTAACAAAAACAAAGCAGAGTGTATGATTTTAAGTAAAAATGGCAACGTTCTGTTTGAGAGGTTGCGAGTCCTCGCAACTCAGATTTTGAGACATAACCGTGTCTCCATGTGTTACAACGCTGCATTATTACATTGTACAGTGGCTCCCAAAGTTGTGGGTCATGGCACGCTAAGTGTGGGGTCTTCATCTACAGGAAGCAAATTACTTTAAAACGTAATTGTCAAAAGCATATTTAGTCTTAACTGTGCTATAAAAAAAAACAACAACTGTAATGGAAATGGATAAAAATAGAAAGTGGATAAGGCTCATTGTTAATTGGATTGTTAACAATGTTTGAATAATTCAGTCAGCGGGTCATACATTTCTGCAACTTTTGGTTTGCGGGACAAAAACTGGAAACTTTGGAAACAACTGCTCCTGCATTCTGAAGTAATCTCAAGCTAACTTGGACGAGTTATGTCAAAAAAATGTTTGCATGAGTGCAGCAATTTTAATGAATTATTTCTTTATCTGTACTGTTCTCATGCTATGTCCAGTCCTATGATATGTACCTATACAGGAGAAAAAGTGTCTTCATGTCACTTTTTCACACATATGGACCTAGAAAACATTATTATTGTTGTGGTGGGTTTGGTTTGGAATTTACTAGGAAATGAGAAGAACAAAAGACTGACTGACTGAACTGAACTGAAGCGCAACAGAGTGCTAACGAGAAAAAAAACAGAACATGGGTGAGGTCATATCTAGATGCAGACAGATGTGTGAAGTTGACATGCTCTTCCTGTGCACGTGTGGATTTTCTCAGAATACTCAGTTTTTCTCCCACTGACCAAAAACGTGCATGCTAGGTCAACTAGCAACTCTAAATTGCCACCAGGTATAAGTGAAAGTGTGAATGTTTGTCTCATTTGTCTCTACGGACTGCTTCTCCGTCCAGATGTTTCTCACCAAATGACCACTGAAGATAAGTCATTTGTGGCAAAATGCAAAACAGCACGACGGTCCCCTTAGAATCCTTAACAATACATGGCCAAAAAAAATCCTGACTTATAAATTACAAGTTCATCATTTACAAACTGGCAGATTCCCAACTAGAGTTGGATAAAATCTTATTGTGTGCAAAACCATCACTGAAGGCCACAAAGTTGGGTAGAGCAAACTTTCCTCCAGTGAGCTGTGGAAACAATTCTAATCAGCCAAGAATTCATGATGCACTCACTCAATCTGTCCTACAAGCAGCAAAGTAAGTGCCGAAAGGACATAATACGGGACGGGCCGTGGATTATTGCATCTTTAGATTTATGGTGCCACTTCATATTGGGGTTATATGAAGTGGAGGCCTCACTCAAGAAGCCACATGTATATATATATA